TCTATTTTCCCTTTTCAGTTATGTTGGAAGTGTGGTTAAAATACATGACATATATAGCTGAACCAGAACCGAAAGGAAACGCAGGTACAAGTAGGACGAAATTGAATGAAACAGAGTCAGATGGGGCGCAGAACGTCGATTGAATAGTATCGTGGAATGAAATAGCGGATGGCGCAAAGCAAGAGGAGCATCTTTTGTGTATTCGGGAAAAAAAAAAAAAAAAAAAGAAAAAGAGGAGCATATATTTAGCATCACAAAAGAATGGCTCAACAAATACCCAACACATGCATACACGGTGGACAACAACAGGAACGAATTCGAAGACGAGTAACTCTAGCTACGAGTAGAATATATATGTATATATATGTATGAGACACAGGCACATAGCAGAGGCATAGCAGCACGTGATGGACTGATGGTCATCAACCGCCGGCCATCAGCTAGCATGCCCTGCAGAACAGGGCGATGGAGCACGAGCAGCTAGCAGCTGCCCCGGTGGATCGATGTCGTCGTCGTGCTCAGAAGCACATGTCGAGGACGCAGCAGCAGCAGATGGCCGCGCAGCTGTGATCAGAACAAAGCAAGGTGATCAGAACGCATCATATGGAGGGTGGTGTTGTTAGCATACAAAGACATATATGCTGGTGTTGTTAGCATACAAAGACATATCAGTTGCTCACCATCCTTTCCAGAAACCGTCGCCACCGCGGCTGGTGGTCTGCTGCTGCTGCTGGCCGTAGTACGCGCCGCCGTCCTGGGTCGGCGGGTACGCCGGCGGTGGCGCGACGTAGGCCGGCGGCGGGGGTGCGCCGTAGGCCTGCTGCTGGCCCGGCGGTGGGTACGCGGTGCCCGGCGGCGGATAGCCTGCTTGGTAGCTCATGGTGGATGGATCGATATATTGATCAGCAGCAGATCAAATTAAAGATCGATGGAGCTAGGCTACCAAGCAGCACTGCAGCAGTGGAATGCAACGCAAGAACAGGACGACCAGCGGAAGAAGCAGAGCAGGTGGAGGTGGACGGAAAGATGATCGTAATGGCCCCGTATTTTTATATATACAGGACCGGAGAGCGTGGGAGAGCGTCGTCGTCGTCGTGTGGCTGATCCATCCGGAGAAACGGTTAGCTAGGGAAGGCGCGTTCAGCAGCGGCGGCTGGTCGCACTTAGACGGCTTGACCCTAGCGATTGGACGCGCTTTTTATTTTTGTTATCTATTTTTTAATTAGAGAAACAAAAGAAAATAGACACCGAGGAATGCGTCTTCTGTCTAGATCGGCTCTCGTTCCTGCCTCGGAACATTCGCCGGCCCGACCCGGCCCGCCTAAAGTTAGCCCACGTCCACGTAGAGGACGATATTGCCGGAGCACTGACGGTGGTGGCCTGGTTAGGTCTTATATAGTTAACCGAGACTGAAAATATAGTCCTTACATTCCAAAATAATTAATCTTATAGGATTCAAATTTTATATAAAAAATATTTGATCTTTTCATTTACCCGTATCATGTACATTTCTCTTCTGATGATACATATTTTTCTTTTCCCAACACATATCTATCTCGATCTATTTCTCTCAATATTTTTTGTACACCACACAATTTCACTTCTCCTTAGTTTTCGTGTCCAAACCTAGAATGCCAAATATTTTGGGACGGAGGGAGTATTCGAAAGAACTAGAACCAGAAACAAGATAATCGGAACAAAAAAAACAAGTTCCCTATTCACTCCTAGACAGTGATAAATTGGATTTTTATGGTTATTTTGGTTCCTGCTCTCGGCTAATTGAAATAACTGAAGGAACATAATTAATTACATAGATTGTACTTCACTTATTTATTTTTATAGAATTGTTGATAGCATTCATAGCTCATGACAACAACAACAAATATTTGAGCCGATTCATGCTACCTATTTGGCAATCAGGCTATAACCTTTAGGTGAAATAGGCACACTTATAGCTCCTAAAATTGGCTTTCAAGCCACGTGACCGGTTCAAGGCCAAGCTCGTATTGGCCCATTCCCATCTCTAGCGTATGCTAAAAGGTTGGTTAGTTTGGTTAGTACCAATTCCTAAGGCTGTGTTTGGATCGAGGGACTAGATGAGACGGGACGGGATGACTGTTTGGTTGCGAGGCTACCGGGGGCGAGAGCATGTCAATACAAACTCAACAAAATTGGAATCACAATTTTTGCACATACCAAGCTCAAGTTATGCATTTTTCAAGATAGAAACCATTTAAAAAACATTTATCTAGCTACATTTTATTCACCATGAAAAATACCAGAAATAGTGCATTTCATATTTTTATAAAATACTTCACTTCATGAGGAATCCAACAAAATTTGGTTCACCAAAATTGGATACTCCAAACTTGAGATATGAATTATTGAAACATGCATTGAAATCTAGAAAAATAAATTAGAAATTCAAATCATCATAGACTGACAGCTGGGGCCCTAGAGTCAACCGGGCCCGCGTGTCATCGACCTTCCGCACGCAAACGGGTAGATGGTTGGGGCCGATTACGGAAGTCAAGGGCGACGGTGGCGCTAATGGCGGCACGGCGAACTAGGATGACGGTGCGACGCCAGAGTTGGCCGGGATGGTGAAATTAGGATTCTGCCGAGCTTCTACACCCTATGGCGAACTTGGTGCACTCGCAAGAACGGTGAATGGTGGTCGGGGGCGGCATGGCCACTGTGGTGTGGCATAGCGGCGAGAACGACAACGATGGCCGCGGCAACAGCACAGAGGCCTTACCGTGCACTGCTAGCTACACGAATGGGTTCGGTGAGGTGGTGGGAACACAGTGGAGCTATGGCTGCGGCGAGAGAGCGGTGCGAGCGCGGTGAGGTGCTGAGTGGTCGGCAATGGCGTCAGCGGCTTAGCGCCTCCGTTGCTCGCGCGAGAGGGAGCAGCAGAGAGAGAGAGCGCAAATGAGAGAGGGAAACAAGTAGCGCGGCGTCACGGTTTTCACTCGCCACCCGGCCACGACGGGGGCCCAACGCCGGCCTATGGCGGCCATGCGGCGATCACACGCTGCGCTCTGTCGGCCACTCACAGCGAGCAGAAGCTCTGAATCGAGCGATTGAAGGTGACTGACTGCGCGATTTCAAGCGACCAATAATCCTAATCCGTGCAGTGATTTGCTAAACCAAAAGCACTACGTGATAGAGCTAAGTGAGTACTACAACTTTTCCAATACCAACTTAGCCTAGATTGCCACGGATTTCAAACTATAATGCGCCAAACTAGGGTACTTGAAACCGTAAACACAATTTAGACTTAGAAAAAAATTTAAGTCATCAAAACAGAACCGCATTGATTTTTTGTGAGCACAATTTTACCATGTTAAGCACTGAATTAGACCTCGACCCAAAAATAAAAGTTGTCACACTAATTGAGTTCTACAACTTTGTTTTAGGGTGCTCAGCCATGTAAAGTCTCTATAGTGACGTTCAACACCAGTCAAACATGCAACTTGAAATTGACGGTTACACTGTAACTATGACTTAGAGACCAAACTAGTCCTAGTCATGAATACCAAAGTTGTTCCAAATAACATTCTAAGTATGTTAAAAGTACTCCTAGGGTCTCACACATATTTTATACATTGGTTACATGTAAACACTAGCATATGTAAAGCATTTAGTGACAAACACATGTGCTATAAGCAATCATAGAGAAAATTTGAGATGCTCATGCTCATGAATGATCAATGATGCTGGTGCTCATGCAATGCCAATGCCAAATGCATGCTTAACACCTAGGGTGTTACACCGCGCGCAGGCGGCGGTGCAAGGGTCGGGCGCGGGCGATGGTGGCAAGGCGAGATCCAGTCTTCGCCGGCAGCCGGGCGAGGGGCTGCGCGCGGGCTGGGCGAGTGCTAGGAGGCAGGAGCTCTGTCCCGTCAAGCTCACGCGAGCTCTGGGCGGCTGGGGACTAAGGAGATAAGAGAGGAGAAAGAAAAAAAACCTAACAAATGGGCCCCATCTGTCAACAGCTCATCCTATTTTTGATGTCTCCGAACCAAACAAAAAAGGTTGGTCTCATCCTACCTCAACCAAACAGATAGGAACTGAATTATTTAAGAATCGGAGAACCAAACTGGACTGAACCAAAGAACCAAATGCCAAGGCCTAATAGTGATGCATATGAAGGGTTCAACCTATTGTCCCCACATGAAGCTGAAGTGGACACGTTCAAAAAAAAAACTGAAGTGGACCGATACAAACGAAATCGCTAGAATTTTAGTTGAAAATTTTAAACTCTCTAAAATTTTAAATAAATTTTAAAATTAGAATGAACTTCATCAAAATATGAAACAGAATTACCGGTATATATAATACGGGAGATTACTGGTATGATCCAAAATTGTGAAATTTCATCTCAACTTTTAAACCCTATGCATAGGTCTGTTATATAATAGTTAAATAAAAACGGATTGATATCAATTTTGTGACCCTCACCACGAATTATTTGATACGAAAAAGTTTGCCTTATGGCCCCTTTGAAATGGTTGATTTTTTTCTATTTTCTGTGTTTTTATGAAAATGAACTGATTCTTTTAAAATTTATGTGTTCTAAAAGATCTAAGCCAACACGTGGACAAGTCTGTTTATCGTACCACTAAGATCCTACGACCTTCACATCCTCCCATCCCAGGCCCCAGCTCCTACTCGGCGGCACCCGGGGCCGCGGGCGCAGGTTCGCCCCGCGCTCGGTCGCCGGCGGCGGCGCGCGCTTGAAGCGACTCTGAGTTGGGCTCGGCGTCGTTTCTTGGGCGTTGTTTCACTTCCACCTACAACTGCATCAACAACCCTTGGGAGTTGGGATCGGAGGTCATCAACCGAATCAGTGTCCCCAATGGCCCATGAGGCACGCATGGCGCTCCTCGAGACGCGGCCGCCCTCGGTTGCGGAAGGCTCATCACATTGGTTCTGGTGCTGGCAGGGCCTCGCCGGGGCCGAGGCGAAAGCGGCTAGCGCGCCTCGCCGGGCCGATGGTCGCCAGCTGCTTCCTGCAGAACGCCGTCAACGTAGTGTCCCTCATATTCGTCGGCCACCTCGGCGAGCTTCATCTCGCTGGCGCCTCCCTCGCCATCTCCGTAACCAGCGCCACCGGCTTGAACATCATCGTCCGCACGCGCGCGCCGGCCATTATTCTGACTGATTAATTATTGTTTGCCTCGCCTTAATTCACATATATATGGCTGTCGCAGACCGGCATGGCGTTTGCGCTGGACACGCTCTGCGGCCAGGCGTTCGGCGCGCGGCAGTACCACCTCCTGGGCGTCTACAAGCAGCGCGCGATGCTGGTGATCGGGCTGGCCTGCGTCCCCTTCGGCTTCGTCTGGGCGAACGCCGGCCGGATCCTCGTGTTCCTCCGCCAGGACCCCGCCGTCGCCGCGGAGGCCGGCGCCTACGCGCGGTGGCTCATCCCGTCCGTCGCTCGCGCTGTACGTGCCGCTGCAGTGCCACATACGGTTCCTGCAGACGCAGAGCCTCGTCCTGCCCGTCATGGCGAGCTCGGGCGCCACGACGCTCTGCCACCTCGCCGTGTGCTGGGCGCTGGTGCACAAGGCCGGCATGGGGAGCAAGGGCGCCGCGCTGAGCAACGCCGTCTCGTATGGCCTCAACCTGGTGATCCTGGCCCTGTACGTCAGGCTATCGGGCGCCTGCGAGAGGACATGGAACGGCTTCTCCGTGGAGGGGTTTAAGGAGCTGCGTCAGTTCGCCAATCTTGCCGTGTCATCTGCGTTTATGATATGGTAAGATTAACGATGTGATCTTCTTTGCACACGTCTGATGATCGGCTGCTGCACCATTTGTTGAGATATAAACAATGTCCTTTCTTTGGTGCAGCGTGGAGTTTTGGGCTTTTGAAATCATTGTCCTGCTGTCTGGTCTTTTGACGAATCCTCAGCTAGAGACTTCAGTGCTGTCAATTGTTGAAATGTTTGGGCTAGGCCCATTTATTTCATTTAATCTCAAGGCCCACGATTAATGCTAGGTGGTTAAAGTGGTTAATCCCAAATGGGTAGTTAAAGAGAATCTTAACCAACTTAAATTGGTGGACTATGTGTGCACTAATTGAGAAGTTGAGGAAGAGAGAGAGAGGGTGCCACACGCGTGCGCGCTTGCTCGCCAAGAAGTGCCGAGGCGCAGCGCGGTGACGTGATGTGTGAGCTGGGTTTGGTCTGGTTTTGCAGTTTTTAATCACGAGTTGATGACTAGTAACTAACCCTGTGTTTAGTGACTAGCAACTAACGTGGTTTAAAAGAGTTGATGACTAGTATCTAACACTGTGTTTAGTGACTAGCAACTGACGTGTTTTAAAAGGCTGACACCAATGACTAATAACGGCTGGAGGTTATTGGTAACTGATGGTTGGTTAATGGCTATCAATCACATGTGACAGTGTCCAAGTTCGTTGAATCTCCTTTCTCTTGCTTCTATAAAAAAGGTGCTTGTACTCTGATTAACGTGCGCTGAAAAACCACTCATTCTCCCTTTCTGCTGCTGCCCGCTGCTATTTTCGCATCTCCATCCTGTACCTCTGCGCGCATGAAGCAACGGGAGAGCAGGTGCCTCCGGAACCCTCGTTCGCCTGCGAACCTTGCACGGGGTGTGCGGCGATTAGGTTTTTGGGGAGAGATTCCGCTACTGCTCGTCCAAGACGTCTTCTTCCTGGTGATCGCTCGCGGAATAACAATGTGTCTTCTTCCCGGTGACCGTTTGTGGGACTGCACTGCGAACACCTTCCTGCATCGACTGTGGTCCACGACTTCGAGCAACTCACTATGTCTGGTGCGAATGGAGCCTCCGATGCCCTCAGCATGGGACCCTCCGCTGGGTACACTCTAAACTCTCTTATTACCGTACTTTGCGTACTTACTGTATCGATCGGTATGTCATACTTGCATGCTATAGCTTTTGTTAGTGATATACACATGCACATATATGTTGTCACAAACTTGCTGATGTTTTATTTATGGATTAAATTGACCATGAAAAAGCCTAATTTTATAACAATTCAAAAACCTAATGTTAGGCAATTTTCTGTCAGTGGTTTTGCTGCTGCTTTGAAGCCGAATAATTTTGATGGCAAGAATTATATGATATGGCATGCTAAGATGGTGTTGTGGTTGACTGCTATGAACTGCTATCACGCTGCACAGGGGAAGCCTAAACAATTTACTCCTGAGGAGGAGCAAAAGTTCTTGGCTGCCGATAACCTATTTCGAGGCGTCGTGATTAGTGCACTTCATCATAAGTATGAGAAAAACTATATATCTTGCACATCAGGCAAAGAGTTATGGGATGCTCTTGAGGCAAAGTTTGGAGTTTCTGATGCTGATAGTGAGCTGTACCTTATGGAGCAGTTGTATGACTACAAAATGGTTAAAAACCGTTCTGTAGTGGAACAGACTCATGAGATACAGGTGCTAGCAAAGGATCTAGAACATTTTTCATGTCCGTTGCCCGACAAGTTTGTGGCCGGCGGTATAATCGCTAAGCTGCCACCTTCTTGGGGGGATTTTGCTACTTCTCTAAAACACAAGAGACAAGAGTTTAGCGTGCCTGAGCTTATTGGATCTCTTGATGTTGAGGAGAGAGTGAAAGCAAAAGACAACCATGGAAAAGGAGTTGAGTCTTCCACTGCCAATATGGTGTAGAAAAAAACTCATTTGCATCCCATAATAAAAAGAAGAAGAACATGTAAGAGAACAACAATACAAAGCCTAAGCAAACTGCACAGTTTAAGAAGAAAAACAACAAGAAAGGTGGAGGTTGCTTTGTTTGCGGGAGTGATGAGCATTGGGTAAGTGCGTGCCCAGACCGCAAATATAAGCAAGAAAAGAAATCAGCAAACGTGGTTATTAGCGAGACTGGAGGAGGAACATCTGGGTATGGTAATTCTTTACCTTTTGTTCTTTCAGTTTGTCTTTCACCTGAGTGGTGGATGGACAACGGTGCTAATATTCATGTGTGTGCTGATGCTTCTTTGTTTACTTCCTATTAGGCCGGCAGGACTGGAGCCTTGCTGATGGAAAACAGTTTGCATGCGTGTGTTCTTGATGTTGGTACGGTCGTTCTGAAGTTTACTTCGGGGAAGACGGTGCTATTAAAGAACGTGCAGCATGTCCCCTCTATCAAGAAGAATCTTGTTGGCGGTTCTCAAATGTGTCAATAAACAAAAAGCGAAAGCTTGGACCAAAGACTATTGATTGTGTTTTTCTTGGTTATGCTATTCACAGCGTGGATTATAGATTTTTAATTATAAATTCTAGTGTTCCTGAGATGGCTATTGATACAATCATGGAATCTAGAGACGCTACATTTTTTGAGAATGATTTTCCCATGAAAAATGCACCTAGCACGACTGGTCATGAATTTATAATTCTCTATGAGCATGAAAATTTTACTCCAATAAAATAAATTGAGGAACCCTATATGTAAAATTCTGAGGAGGATGACACTATAGTCACTAGAAAAAGTAAGAGACAGAGGACTGCAAAGTCTTTTGGTGATTACTATATTGTGTACCTTGTGGATGACACACCAACGACCATTGAAGAGGCATATTCCTCTCCTGATGCTGACTTATGGAAGGAAGCAGTACGGAGTGAGATGGATTCTATTATGTCTAATGGAACTTGAGAAATAGTTGATCGTCCCTATGGGTGCAAGCCTATAGGGTGCAAATGGGTGTTTAGGAAAAAGCTTAGGCCTGATGGTACTATCGAGAGGTACAAGGCAAGACTTGTGGCCAAGGGTTATACTCAAAAGGAAGGTGAGAATTTCTTTGATACTTATTCACCGATTGCCCGATTAACTATAATTCAAGTTTTGCTTTCTCTGGCAGCCTCTTATGGTCTTATCGTTCATCAAATGGACGTTAAGACAGCTTTCCTAAATGGAGAGTTAGAGGAGGAGATCTATATGGATCAGTCGGATGGGTTTGTAGCAAATGGTCAAGAAGGCAAGGTGTGTAAATTATTAAAGTCATTATATGGCCTAAAACAAGCTCCTAAGCAGTGGCATGAGAAGTTCAACAGAACTTTAACATCTGCTGGCTTTGTTGTGAATGAAGCTGACAAATGTGTGTACTATCGGTATGGTGGGGGTGAAAGAGGTATTTTGTGCTTATATATTGATGACATACTGATCTTTGGATCCAACCTCAAAGTGATTGAGGAGATGAAGGAATTTTTATCTAATAATTTTGAAATAAAAGATTTAAGAGAGGCTGATGTTATTCTTAATATCAAGCTTCTGAGAGAAGGTGATGGTGGGATAACTCTGTTACAATCCCACTATGTGAAAAATGTGTTGAGTCGCTTTGGGTTTAGTGACTATGAACCTGCTCCTACACCTTATGACCCGAGTGTGCTATTGAGAAAAAATCAGAGAATAGCAAGGGATCAATTGAGATATTTCCAGATCATTAGTTCGCTCATGTATCTTGCTAGTGCAACAAGACCTGGCATCTCATTTGCTGTGTGCAAGCTGAGACGATTTGTGTCAAACTCGGGAGATGATCACTGGCGTGCTCTTGAGAGAGTGACGCGCTATCTAAAAGGCACTATGAGCTATGGTATTCATTATACCGGACACCCGAAGGTGCTGGAAGGCTATTGTGATGCCAACTGGATCTCTGATGCTGATGAGCTTTGTGTCACAAGTGGATATGTGTTTTCGCTTGGAGGTGGTGCTGTTTCCTGGAAGTCTTGCAAGCAGACTATCTTAACGAAATCTACAATAGAAGCAGAACTCTCAGCATTAGACACCGCTGGCTCTGGGGCCGAGTGGCTTCGTGATCTCATTATGGATTTACCGGTTGTTGAAAAACCCATACCGGCTATTTCTATGAACTGCGATAACCAGACTGTGATTACGAAGGTTAACAGTTCTAAGGATAACATGAAGTCCATAAGGCATGTTAAGAGACGACTAAAATCTGTCAGAAAATTAAGAAACTCTGGAGTAATAGCGTTGGACTTTGTTCACACGTCTAACAACCTGGCAGATCAATTCACTAAGGGTCTATCACGCAATGTGATAGAAAGTGCATCGAGAGAGATGGGTTTGAGTCCCACATGAAATTTACTATAGTGGTAACCTGTTCTATGTGATCGGAGATCCCGTGAAGTAGGATGGTAAAACAAGCTAGTAGTAAATTATGAGGAAAGATCCTCAGTAAGACTCATTTTTTATGCATATATTTCCTTTCTGTAAGGCATGTTGGTTTTTACCTTAATATGTTCCAAGTGGCCTGCTAAAGCAAAGATGTTGTCGTACAGAACATCTTTTAAGGAACACACCTATATGAGTTAGACTGTTGGTCATAGTCTATGAGATTTGGGTAATCTCTAGATACTCATGAAAGGCCTGGAGTATGACTTATACGCTCCAAACCGCGGGGATGCTTTTCAGCAGCCTAGTACCAGAAAAGAGTTTTGGTAAAGCTTGTTTGCACAAGACTATCAATTCAAGGCATAGTCCATTGATCAGTTGTGAATAAGTGTAGCCTCTTCTCTAGGTGGATGTTCAACTTAATAGTCTCTATCGAAAACTGGTATATAAAAGTAGCAGTGTGTGGGGGATATACCCCCGGGTACCACAAGATGGTACATGGGCCGCACCATCCGAGGTGGCCCGGCCCGTGAGATCAAGGCGTACACGGCAGGATTACAAGTTGTACTAGATATTGTAATAGTACCAAATTGGATACTTTACTTGTAACCTTGTCTCTTCGGAGTATATAAGGAGAGACAAGGGTCCCCTAGAGGACAGGTTAATCTGTATACATCTCAATACAATACACCAAAGACACAGGACGTAGGGTATTACGTCGACCAGACAGCCCAAACCTATCTAAATTGCTGTCTCTGCGCCTTGTGTCACCATCTGGTTCTGGATTACGCGCATCCTACCGATAATCTACCACCACAGGCACCCCCTCGGTGGACTGCCGACCATATTTCGTCGACAGTGGTGCGCCAGGTAGGGGCCCCCTTTAGGGGTTGTGTGTGCTGATCCACGGCGAGCCAGATGGGATCTCAAGATCAATGTTGTATGCGACAACGTCCTTCGGCAGCGGCGACTACGACCTACAGCAAGACTCGCCGTGCTTCCCGCGTGAACCTTCCTACCAGATCGGGTCTGCATGCATCAACGCCGAGGATTTAAGTGTAACATCATGTCATCACGTGATGACATATCTACACCGCCATGCAAAGCTTCCGTCGGGCACACGGATGGCAACAGCAAGCAGGCTAATTATGGATATCATGGAGACAGAGGCTTCCGTGGATCACCAGATGGATGCATCTACGATGAACCTCCGATTGCTCGTACTACTAATTCGACCCCGGGCCCAGAAGTCTACAGACCACGTCTCGAGCGGCCCCGTCGAGCTCCGACCATGACC